TGAATAAATGGTAAAGCAATGCGCACTCACCGGACGCGCATAATATATGCGCTTTTGTGTAAAAGTAATCCAGATGTCATCTGGTGATGGGTGGTCCTCCCTCTGCTGTGTATGAGGCTGGTGGTCCTCTTCCACTGGGGGTCCTCCTGCTAGCTCCTGGTGAGTGGTATCCCTCTGGTTGGGCTGGGGTACCTTAGGTACATCCAGGAGTGTGTCTGCGGATTAAAATGCTCCCCCACGGGGTAACAAAGATCTCCCATAGTGTAGTAGTTGGTAAAGAAATTTATTAAAGATGCATCAGGTAAAAAAAAAACGTTGCAGACAGTTATCAGTGTACAACTAACCGTCTGGAGTGTTAAGATGGCCACCAGAGCTCCACGTTGCTCTGGCGGCGTGACGTCACGGCGTGGTGTGGCTCCTCCTTACGCGCATCGTGCTCCGGCACGTCTTCAGACGTACAAATCTATCTCTAAATGTATTTAGTTCACTGTTCTGCTGACCCAATGTATTTTATTGCTTAGCATATAAAAATATATATGTTTCTGGCCTGAATATATTTTTTTATTTCAGGTACTTATATAGCGCCATCAATTTATGCAGCACTTTACACATATATATTGTACATTCACATCAGTCCCTAACCCTCAAGGGGCGTACAATCTAAGGTCCCTAACTCACATTCATACATACACATACTAGGGCCAATTTAGACAGGAGCCAATTCACCTACCAGCATGTCTTTGGAGTGTGGGAGGAAACTGGAATACCTGGAGGAAGCCCATGCATGCACAGGGAGAACATACAAACTCCAGGCAGGTGGTGCTGTGGTTGGGATTTGAGCCAATGACCCTGGTGCTGCCAGGTGGAGCTGATAACCACTTAGCCACTGTGTTGCCCCATTAGAATTGACATGTGTAAATCATTAGAAAAAATATGTGTAGAAAATAGATCCCAAAAGTAACTACCAGCTGAGACAAAAAAATAAAAATGAAAAATAAAAAAACAGGAAAAAACTATCCACACTTATGGGACCCCATAACCAGTTAAAACATCTACTTTATCAATGTCAACCTAAAAAAAAATATATATATATAAATTCAATAGAAGAAAAATAACATGAAAATATAATGAAAAAAACAAAAAATGAATAAACTTAAAAAAAAATATCATGCAGTAGCCGAGTCGTGATATGATGAGGGAGTGGATGAGCTGTTTAGTGGTTTCTGGGGTTAGGAACGTGCGGATTTTGGCGGTTTATTAATTAGTATGTTTATTAATTTGAAGACTAAAAAAGATCCAGGTAAAAGTAACAGACTCACATGTGATCATAAAATAGTAGAATAAAGATGGCCGCCGGCCTTCCTCGCGGCCGTGTGCACCGTGACGTCACTCCGGTGGGCTCCGCTGATGCGTTTCGTGCACCAGCACGTTGTCATGGACTGCTATATTTCTAGATTGGACTTATCACTATTGTCACCATAATATTTGGCTTGTATTGCATTGACGTGTCACTTTAAGACGCAACCATCACTCTACTATTTCTGCGCCTCCAGTAGCGCCCACTTATAGCATAATTTTACATTATTTTATTATCATTATTATCATTGGTTATCCAGGGGCGGACTGACAACTCATGGGTTCCCCGGGCAATAGGGGATCATGGGGCCCCTGTGTCCTCACCCACAGCAAAAAAAAACCTATGAAAAAGGTACCAGGGGCATCTCATGGGGCACCCTATTGACCCCGGGCCCTCGGGCAGTGCCCGAGTTCCCAAATGGTCAGTCCGCCCCTGTGGTTATCTTATGTTCTTCAGCGCTGCATATTTATTTTTTTTGTTTGTCATTTTAAGGTGTTGAGGTTTTACCTTTTATATGCTAGCTGCTTTTACATATATGAAGAAAATGCAGCGCTGTGATGTTACTATATTGCGCGCAGATATAAATAATAAATGAAACCAAAGCAAATGAATAAATAAATCAATAAATAAATAAATCACAGTCCAGTAATGGTGCTCGCTGATTCCCAGTGCAAAAGTTAGAAATGCGCACTAACCAGAAACGTATTAATAATACGCATGTGTATATGATATCATGGAGATTCCTCTCTCTTTTCTGGTCTGGTAATGGGCAGGAGCTGCAGATAGAGATGTGGCGAAATGGAGGTCCAGCAGGTCACAGAAATCCTTACAGACTCACACACTACATGTTTTTACGCTCGCAATCACTTCCAACATACTATATCTATCTATCTGTCTATATATTTGGCACCAGTTTATAAATCCTAAAAAACTATAACTAAAATCTTGTATTTGTTCCCCTTTACACATTAGATAGCTAGGAAAGTTCCAGAGACACTGGAATATGCACCTTAAGCCAATCTATTTACAATTTTCTTTCTGTTATATTGCAAAATGAACCTCCCTGTGATTTGCCAAATTCATTCCTCGCTATCACCGCGAGCGTTTTAAAAGCATAAGTGTATGTTCCCGTTGAGTAATGGCCATGTAGTTTCAAGTCACCTCCTGCACCTGCTGCCTGAATTGTATCCGCCAGGTGACCGGGCTGCTACAATGTATCACCCTGGGACATCAGCTTGTTACCGTGTATCACCTGGAGACACCGAGCCACTAATAAGCCTCGTCCTCGCCAATGGATGTCTTTTTACCGCCTGTCATCACCAAGAGCAACGCGGCGCGCGGAGAAGACTGATGAAGTAGAGAGTGAAGAGTCCTATATTTGGAAGCTAATATTTAGGGAAAGAAAAAGCTACAGGCAAGTAAAAGTAATTTGAAGTCAAGGAGATGTGCTGGATAAAAACAGCCGGAATGGGAGACTGGGAGAGTGAAATTATTCTACCTCAATTTAATCTAATTCACTATGGATACTGCTGGAGGCGTCTCAGCAATGGGACAGCTCGCTGCTTTATTCCTGTTTTATCTCATATGGTGAAAGTGAAGAGCCATCATTTTGGAAAATGAAACACAAATGTCAACGCCATGCAAGAAAAAAAAAAAATAGCATGTTCATGACTTTTAATGCCTTTAATGGTCTACGAAAGAGCCTCTGTGCCTTTATTACATCATTTTCATAATCTGGTTTATGTAAAAGAAGGTTATAGTCAGGGGTGGACTGACAACTCATGGGGCCCCCGGGCAATAGGGGATCATGGGGCCCCTGTGTCCTTGCCCAAACTCAAAAAAGCCTATGAAAAAGGTACCAGGGGCATCTCATGGGGCCCCCTACTGACCCTGGGCCCTCAGGCAGTGCCCGAGTTTCCAAATGGTCAGTCCGCCCCTGCTTCCAACACAATCAGGAGCCGCTGGGAGGGGGCTCCCAATCATGTGACTGCTTTGATGGGCAATCACAGTGATGACATGATTGGGAAACCCACTTCCATCTCTATGACACCCCTTAAAGGCTCCACGCTGCAAGCTCACAACATAATTGGAAGGCTGTGGGAGGGGGCTCCCAATCATGTGATTGCTTTAACAGGCAATCACAGTGATCACATGATGGGGAAACTCACCTCCGCCTTTAAGAAACCCTTTAACCTCCCTGGCGGTATGATTGGCATGGTTATAGTAATCATGATGGAGAAATACACCAAAGCTGAACTCCAGGCAGATACAGAAGACACAAGTAATGTAGCTCTGTGTGAGCACCTGTGGTAGTGAGCTCTATAGATCCTCAACCTAAGCGCTGCGTAAATTGACGGCGCTATATAAGTACCTGAAATAAATAAACCTGGGGTTCCCCAGGGCGCGGAGTCTAAGCCCCATCCTGCTTGTTCACCAGAGCCCCTGATGGTGGGGATCAGGGGTGGACTGACAACTCATGGGGCCCCCGGGCAATAGCGGATCATGGGGCCCCTGTGTCCTTGCCCAAACTAAAAAAAAAGCCTATGAAAAAGGTACCAGGGGTATCTCATGGGGCCAAAGAAGAGATTTGTGAAAAGAGATTCACAAGAAAGCGGCTACATAATGGACAGAATGCGATACTCAGAAAAATTTCCAAAAATTATGCTTTATTACACATTAATGATTGACACTCGGGCAATCGCCCTGGTTTACCATCACCCCAGTATGAGACAATACACACAGACCTAAAACCATTAAAATGGGCCCCAACCACATGTGCCTCTACTGGGTTGTACTGCATGAATCCATCATCATATCATTGGGGTTCATCCCCTCCTTTTTTCATTCAATGTTCTACCCACATTGCCTTGTATAGGCCTAGGGTTTTGCTTCTCTCCAGGTGGTAACTGTATTTGCCTTTATTATATATATATATAGTGCAGCGCTGAAATGTAATAAAATGGTATATATAGAGAGTCTTTCTCATGACAATAAAATCAAATATGTGCAGGTCTTCTCCTCATAGGTGACTGGAAAATAGCAAGATTGCGCACTCACCGACCGCACATTTAAAATGCGCCTGTGTATGATATAATCCAAAAAGACCAGCCAGGTATACAGCTCCAGAGACCACACGGATCCTCCCTCTTCCACACTCTCATCCTAGTAATTTCTTCAGTGTGGAATTGTCCTTCAACATGCTCAAACTCTCTTTCCACACAGTGCTCAAAATTAGTTGGGTCTTTGGAAGTGCTTGTTTCAATACATAAACTTCTAATTTGTGAGTTTTCGATGGTGATTTTTCCAATTTTTTGCAAAGTGTTCAAGCTGATGATGAATTCCTGGGAGAACATTCCTGTTGTAGTCCAGAATGTGTCAGGATTCCCCAGAAGTAGACTCAAATAACTCGGAAGCGCGGTTGGAAAAAGTGCTCGTAGTGCTACGAGGAAAGGTTCCGGGGGAAAAAGGTTCCTAGGGGCAGAGAGCACCTGGCTGTGTGGACAGCCAGGTGCTCTCTGCCCCTAGGAACCTTTTTCCCCCGGAACCTTTCCTCGTAGCACTACGAGCACTTTTTCCAACCGCGCTTCCGAGTTATTTGAGTCTACTTCTGGGGAATCCTGACACATTCTGGACTACAACAGGAATGTTCCCCCAGGAATTCATCATCAGCTTGAACACTTTGCAAAAAATTGGAAAAATCACCATCGAAAGCTCACAAATTAGAAGTTTATGTATTGAAACAAGCACTTCCAAAGACCCAACTAATTTTGAGCACTGTGTGGAAAGAGAGTTTGAGCATGTTGAAGGACAATTCCAAACTGAAGAAATTACTAGGATGAGAGTGTGGAAGAGGGAGGATCCGTGTGGTCTCTGGAACTGTATACCTGGCTGGTCTTTTTGGATTATATCATACACAGGCGCATTTTAAATGTGCGGTCGGTGAGTGCGCAATCTTGCTATTTTCCAGTCACCTATGAGGAGAAGACCTGCACATATTTGATTTTATTGTCATGAGAAAGACTCTCTATATATACCATTTTATTACATTTCAGCGCTGCACTATATATATATATAATGTCTCTGTTATGAGGTTTAGTGATCCCTTGAAGTGTTCCAGCAGCTGGTTTTTCTGAGCGCTCGCTATATTCATTATTCATTTGTATTTGCCTTTATGCTTGCATGTGATATTATATACCTATGGTACAATTTTTGAAAACACCTCCTTCAGGGAGTGTAATCTATGTGGTAACTATATGTGCTTATTTGCATAGTATGTGATATTATATACCCATGGTATAATTTTTTGAAAATACCTCCTACAGGGAGTGTAACCAATGTGCGGTGCTGCAAATGCTTTAGACCATGGTGGTCATCGCTTTTGAAGCACATATATATCCAGACTGGTCTTGGTGTGATTTTAATGGTTTTAGGTCTGTGTGTATTGTCTCATACTGAGGTCATGGTAAACCAGGGCGATTGCCCGAGTGTCAATCATTAATGTGTAATAAAGAATAATTTTTGGAAATTTTTCTGAGTATCGCATTCTGTCCATTATGTAGCCGCTTTCTTGTGAATCTCTTTTCACAAATCTCTTCTTTGGTCTGCATATTTTTTGGCTACTGGATGGAAGCCATATATTGGGTGATACAGTAATTTATATGTGAACCTCTAAATCCATTTTTTACTAACTGTATCTCATGGGGCCCCTACTGACCCCAGGCCCTCAGGCAGTGCCCGAGTTTCCAAATGGTCAGTCTGCCCCTGGTGGTGATGGACTTGCAACAAGCTGGGACCAGGTACACCCAGCTGAGGTGGAGGAGACCGCTCGCGGGAGCAGAGTATGACGGGAGAAGACAAAGGGAATCCAATAGGCAAGCCGAGGTCAGGACAGGTGGAAACCAAGCAAGGTTGGAGAACGAAGCCAGGGTTGGTACACGAGTAGACAATATAAGATTTGGCCAGTAGAAACATATGGGGGCTCCAACAACTAAGGCATTGCTCAGGCAAAGTGGCCTAGTCTGAGCACATCTTATATAGACAGGCAGACAAGGAGGCAGGACAGGAAGTGATGGAAGGGAAGGAAATAAAACCCAGAGGACAGCAGACGACGCCCATAGGTGAGCACAGACAAACACATGAAAAGGGATCAGGAACAGGACTGCAGCAAGAAGGTAAGAACACAAACGAAACTAACCAAGCCTAACACAGGCTAACTTGTGACACTCTGTATATATACACAGATTAGCCATAACTTTGTAATCACCCACCTAATATTGAGTAGGTCCTCCTTTTGCAGCATGGACTCCACTAGACCTCTGAAGGTATGCTGTGGTATCTGAAACCAGACCATCAGTAGTAGGTTATTTAAGTCCTGTCCTTGCAAGGTGGGGGCTCCATGAATTGGACTTGTTTTTTCCAGCACATCCCACAGATGCTTGATTTTATTGAGTTCTGGAGAATTTGATGGCTAAGTCAACACCTCAAACTTGTAGTGTTCCTCAAACCATTCTTGAACCATTTTTGCAGTGTAACAGGACACATTATTCTGCTGAAAGAGGCCACTGCCAACAGGGAATATTGTTTCCATGAAGGCGTGTACTTGGTCAGCAACAATGTTTAGGTAGGTGGTACGTATCTGTCAAGTAACAGACACATGAATTGCAAGAAGCAATGTTACCCAGCAGAACATTTAATTGGACTTCTTAGTAGTGGTATGCTCTTGGACCCCCAGAAATGAGTTGACTACTTTTGGATTGTCCCCTTGACTTTGATTGGAATAAAGTTCTATGTGGACCTCTTAGCAGTAGTGCTCTCTTGGCCCCCTGAAAGAGTTGGCTACTTTTTGGATTGTCCTCCTGACTTTTACCAGAATAAAGTGGTATCTGGTCCTCCTAACACTGGTGCTTTCCTGGACTCCTGAAATTGATTTTTTTTTAATTGTCCTGACATTTATTAGAAAACAGTTGTATCTCGACCTCCTAACATTGGTGTGCTCCTGGATTCCTGAAATGTATTGGCTACTTTGTGGATTGTCTTTCTGATTTTATTGGAATAAATTGTATCTGGACCTCTTAGCAGTAGCACTGTCATGGACTCCTGAGAGAGTTGGCTCTTTTTTGGATTGTCCTCCTGACTTTTATTGGGATATTTGTATGTAGACCTCCTAACACTGGTGCACTCCTGTACACCTGAACTGGAATAGTTATTTTTTTGTTTGTCCTCCTGACTTTTTTTAGAATAAAGTTGTATCTGGACCTCCTAACATTGGTGCACTCTGGGACTTCTGAAATGGGTTGGCTTCTTTTTGGATTGTCCTCCTGACTTTTTTGGAATAAAGCTGTATCTGGACCTCTTAGCAGTGGTACGCTCTTGGAACCCAGACACTCATTGGCTATGCTTTGGATTGTCCCTATGACCTTCACTGGAATAAAGTTGTATGTGGACCTTAACAGTGGTGCGCTCTTGGACCCCAGAAATGAGTTGGCTAATTTTTGGATTGTCCCCTTGACTTTCATTCGAATAAAGTTGTATCTGGACCTCTTAGCAGTAGTGCTGTCTTGGTCCCCTGAAAGAGTTGGCTACTTTTTGCACTGTCCTCTGACTTTTATTGGAATAAAGTTGTATCTGGGCCTCCTAACATTAGTGCACTCCTGGATTCCTGAAATGTGTTGGCTACTTTTTGGACTGTCCTTCTGACTTTTATTGGAATATTTGTATCTAGACCTCCTAACACTGGTGTGCTCCTGGACTCCTGAAATGGATTGGGTACTTTTTGGATTGTCCTCCTGACTTTTATTAGAATAAAGTGGTATCTGAACCTCCTAACACTGGTGCTTTCCTGTGCTCCTGAAATGGATTTTATTTTTTTTTTTTAATTGTCCTCCTGATTTTTATTAGGAAAAAGTTGTATCTTGACCTCCTAACCTTGGTGTGTTTCCTAGATTCCTGAAATGGATTGACTACTTTTTGGATTGTCGTCCTGATTTTTATTGGAATAAATGTATCTGGACCTCTTAGCAGTAGCGCTGTCTTGGACCCCTGAAAGAGTTGGATGCTTCTTGGATTGTCTTCCTGACTTTTATTGGAATATTTGTATCTAGACCTCATAACACTGGTGCACTCCTGGACTTCTGAAATAGTTTAGTTATTTTTTTGTTTGCCCTCCTGACTTTTATTAAAATAAAGTTGTATCTGAACCTCCTAACATTAGTGTGCTCCGGGGTTCCTTAAATTGGTTGGCTTCTTTTTGGATTGTCCTGACTTTTATTGGAATAAAGTTGTATCTGGACCTCTTAGCAGTGGTGCACTGTTGGAATCCAGAAACTCGTTGGTTATTTTTTGAATTTTCCCCCTGACCTTCATTGGAATAATGTTGAATGTGGACCTCTTAGCAGTGATGCGCTCTTGGAACCTTCAAAACTCGTTGGCTACTTTTTGGATTGTCCCCCTGACTTTCATTGGTGTAAAGTTGTAACTGGACCTCTTAGCAGTGATGTGGTGCTTGAAGAAGCTGACTACCAAGGAACCAGCTTATTTACATCATCATCAGTACTTTAAGACAGCAATACCAGTGAGATAACCTTACGGCTCCAACGCTATATTTCCACTTCCTTAACTTATTTCCTAGGCTGACTTCCAGGGATGCTCTCTACATGGAGTGTGTATGTTAACCTAATTTTGTTACATTATACTACAAGTCAGGGAGACCATGGAGATCCTTTGGCGTGTAGAAGCTGCCTACCCAGGAACCAGGTCATTTACATCAACATCAATACACTACGATAGCACTACCAGTGAGATAATGGATCCACCGTTATATATCCACTTCCCTCAAATTATTTAATAGGCTGACATCCAGAAACGCTCTCTGCATGGAGTTTGTATCTTAACACAATGCTAGTGTGTTTGTTTTCTCCCACAATCCCAAAACACAGTGGCCAATGAACTGCTGTTTGAACTGCTGCTTAGTGAGTCTCCAATATCTCGGCAGGGGCATGATTGTTAGCTCCACTGGGGCAGGCTGTAAGGGAATTCCTGTGAATCGGCTGGTTAATGGAAATGCGCTTGCACACAGAAATATCCGCAGAATAGTGACCAGACGTGCGCATAGAAATGCGCGATTGCGCACAAGCACACGCACATGCACCTGTATAGCGAATCTTGGCGCCAGACGGACTATTTAAAGGATGCCTCTGCCTGTGCTTAGTGCTGACTGGTCTTCAGCTGTTTCCCATGTCCTGCTGTGTTCCTGTATGATCCCCTTGTTGCTGACCCGGCTTGTTCCTGACCTGACTTCTGATTCCTCTCCTGCCTTGATGCTTGTTCCTGACTTTGGCTTGCTTATGATTTGGTACCTCAGTGGCCTCCCTCACCGCAGGCTATCCCCGCTTCAGTCGATCCTGAATACGGCAGCTAGACTCATCCACCTTACCAACCGCTCCGTTTCTGCCACCCCCCTGTGCCAATCCCTTCCACTGGCTCCCGATTGCCCAACGGATTAAATTCAAAATCCTAACACTGACGTACAAAGCTGTCCATAATATTGCCCCAAACTACATCTCCGACCTAATATTCAAATATCACCCAAAACGCACTCTCTGCTCATCACAAGACCTCCTTCTCTCTAGCTCTCTGGTCTCCTCCTTCCATACCCACCTCCAGGACTTTTCCAGGGCATCACCCATCCTCTGGAACTCCCTTCCCCAATCCATCAGACTATCACCTACTCTCCTCTCCTTTTGGCACACCCTGAAAACCCACCTCTTCAGGGAAGCCTACCCCACCCCCTGCTAACTGCCGATCTCCTCCTCTCTTCCCACCACTACATCCCCCACAGCTTTTCCTCTCGTACCACTATCCCCTCCCTCCTAGATTGTAAGCTCCAAGGAGCAGGGCCCTCGAACCCCTCGTGTATCGCACTTTATTGTC